TCCACCGGGAAGGCCGGCGAGCCTCCCCACCCGAACCCACTCGCGCACACTCCCCGCCCGGCCTCCCTCCGTCCCGCACCCTCGGGCCCCTCCCGCCACCGACGACGGTCTTTGAAGGGACGCTGGGAAGGCGGTGCGGAAGCTCCGTCCGCGTGAGACAGTGTTTCCCCGCAACGCCCGCCCGGGAACCTGCGAGCCCCGCGTCCCCGTGCGCGGAAGGCACGAACCTCCGTTCACGACAAGCCCGGGCCCGGCGGCCCAGGCTGCGGGCTGTGCGGCAGCACCAGGCGGGGGCGGCCCGTGTGCGCACTGCCCTCTGAGATGCCCGGCACGGCAAGCGTGGCCCCGAAGGAGCCCAGGACTGGGCACGGGGAGCTCTCGTGGGTGCCGAGGGTGCTCTAGAACTGGGCCGTGGCTGCGGAAGCCTGTGACCCGCTACGAGTCACCGGGCGCGCACGGGTGAAGTTCACGGTGTATAAACTGAACCGCAACGCTGTAAGGACAGAGCATGGGGGGAGAGGAGAGGGCGGGAGGGGAAGTCAGCGTCCGCCCCAGCCCAGCGCACAAGAAGCGTGGTCACGCCTGGCCCCGTCTTCCTCCCAGTCCTCGCCCTTGCTCGCCTGCCTCTCTCTCAGGCACAGCCAGCTCCTCGCCCATGTGCCCCCATAACTGACTTCCTCCTTCCCCCAGACTCCACCTCAGGTGCCCCTGGGCCCCCTGCCCTGGCACCCCCACCTGGAGTAGCCATTTCTCTTGTCCATGCCCTCCCCTGAGCCGCAGTGGCCACCCCCACCGGAGGCCCCCTCCCCCAGCCCAGGTGCACTGCTTGCCGCCTGCTCCCCCTGGCCTCCACCATCAGTCCCCTCCCAGGTACACCTTCAGCTCAGGCGGGACCAGCACAGGCGTCCGGGCTGGCCCTGCCTTCTGGCTCCACAGCAGTCCACAGGTCTTCCTGGCCACCCTCCCTCTCTGCAGCCTACAGAATAAAGACCACTTTCCTTAGTCTGCCCGATGGTTCCTGATACAGGAACCATCTGGAACCGTGTCTGGCCTTTGCACCTGCCAGGTCTTCCTCCTGGAGTGTTTTCGCCCCACCTGAGGCCTGGCCGACCCACTTCCTGCAGGCCAGTCCTCTTCACACTCACCCCAAGTTGCCCCCCGCCCCCCGGGGTGGGGGGACCTCTGCTGCCATTCAGCACTGCCTGTCTCAGAAAGTCAGGGCAGGTTTCCCTGCACACCTGCTGCAGTGTCCCCCGGCCCCAGCCCACCGCTGTCCACTGAGAAACCTGGCCTCAAGCTAGCATCTGTGCTCTCTCCTCCCTGCTCCCACCCCATCTGTACCAGAAGCACTCCAGCTCCTACCACGTGGAATGCAGTGAATCACTCAATCTTTTTTTTTTTTTTTTAATCTTCACCCAAGG